CAGTCGATGTTGATCATCTTTCTGTACTACTCTATCTCAGTACCGCAGAAATCACTTGATCAAATCGCCGTTCACAATACTGATAGTCTCTAGCTTTTTTTTTTATTTAATGTCTCTTTGTCAGTATCTTTGACTAATTTTAGTGCTTGCCAGTGCTCACCCAGTAATCGTCGATAATTTTTAAATTATTACAATGTTACTTTGCTGAAGTAACAGCATTTGTATTCAATATTCAAATTATTAGGTATTTGGTACATGACTTCGATCTTTTCGAGCATTGCCTACTAGTTTGTGTGCTTCTCAGGTTATATTCTTTCTTAATAAACTTACAGTTATACTATACCCACGGCACTATAAATTTTGAAGAATATAGACAATCTCGGCTTTCTCATTTGCGTTACATCGTCAAAGATTAAATCTCGATTTATAACAGTTTATTATGTAATTTGTTCACAATTAAAATGCAACGTGAGTAATAGTAATATATTTTATCTTAAAATGTCAGACAAGTTATGCCTAGAATCCTTGTTATTATAATATGCGTTAATGGCTATCGTTCCGTATATAAGATTAGATATACTGTAGCCATCAAATACTTAATCACAGTTTCTAAAGGCTTCTATCACGCACTTTTTATATAGTATTTTAAAATATTGCTAGGCGTTTACGTTTTTGTTTATAAAACGCACAGCGTCTTAGTATACCGTTAAACAATAGCCAAGTAATCAAACGTCCGATGAGTATGTATACACTTGTAGAGACGTACTTATGACTTTTTTCAATTATTTTAAAGCTTTTAGCAATCTACAGCAATTGAGTTCTCTTATAAATGTGTTAAGCAAATATCTAAACTATGACGCGCATATTTATGTTTCTTATATGAACTTTCGCAGTAAACATATACTCTCGATTGAATGCTTACTGCAGATTTGTCTTGTTTCTTCGATGGACAATTTAACAAATAAATACGTATGTGTGTGTTGTACTCGAGTAGGGAACCTGTCTCAGTTCTGGACTCAGTTGGCTGGGTTTCTGGACTGAGACTACTGAGAAAGTCTCATTGTGTCAGTCCAGAACCCAGAACCCAGTCCAGAACTGAGACAGGTCGTACAACATGGCTTATAATTGTGAAGAAAATTGAATGTAGTTATATGCGTTTCGTAAAATCTCCTTAGCTAAATGCCATCCTAATGGTGATATAAATACTAACAAAGACAAAAGTCCAAGAGGTTTTAGTTTTTTTTCGGAAAAGTTCAAATTAGGTGTTTTTGCTAGTTAATTTTATTATAAATATATGCCTATCTGACGCTATATCGAACAAAAAAATAAAAGGGAGGATGGAATCTGGCTGGGTGCTTCGCAGATAATCAATGTATTCCGTAACAAACTTAATTATCCAAAACCTGTCGCACGTTTGTCTTACAAGCCAATGGCAACAAAAGAATAGCAAATTTAGTGGCTGTGCATCTTATGTTCAAAGTGTAGTTCAATGATAAGAATGCTATTGTAATAGTATTGTTTGCATAGATAACAATCCTTAGTATGTTGGCAACCTGGCTAAACGTTAAGTGACACAAAATGAACGTGATTATCACAAATCATTCGGTCTATCCGACATTCTCCGCTGCAAACATACGAATAGATTCAATTACACAAGGTTTAATATCAAAGTTTTTGATTGCTGTTGCTACGACATATCTGAGCCTCGCTTAAGTAGTACAATACATTTTTATATTCACTGTGTTTCAGATTTAGTAAGTGCAAGATGATCTCTTCCAATGGACGTTCTCAACGGTTAAAGCCACAAATTTTCACAAAGAAAGAATTTTACAGCTCAACTTGCCTCATAATTTTGTTGTACAAGTAGTTGAGTTCATATATAGTAATGATGGCAGTCCGTGTGAACAGGAAAGTTACAAATTAGTATATTGGCAAGCAGCAAAGAGAAAAAAAAAAAACTTTAGCCCCCATCTTAACCTGCCTTAACTGTGGTGAATGGTTAATAAATGCAAATACATTATTGTTATATGACAGGTATTCGGATAAAAACCAGAAAGTAGAGGTTACATTAGTAACATATAAATTATCAACTTTTATTTTATACGTTTATTAACGGTCATGTAAAAACTTTCTTTTCTCTTTACCAGCCCCGAATTTATGGATGTTTATTATATAGATAATTTAAGTAATCGGTACTACACTTCTATAGATAGGTTAGCTGTATGAAATTGGTAGCAAAGAGGTGCGTATAATTGGAAAAGATAGTATTAGCCTGAAGTATAATCTTGCTACGTAGAATATCATGGGCTGCTCTGTATTGCATTTAAATTATTATAAAAGCTGTATGATAGCATGACTTTGTCCTTGGTATAATTGAAAGATACGTGGAGTTGGCGAATTGGAAGATTACAGGACCATGCATGCAACTGCTCACGAGTTGCACCGTATTAGTGTCGACCTACATTAAGCAATAGGTTGACCAATCAGCAGAGGTTGCACTGACATTAGGTTGGAATATGCAGCAAAGTTTGTATGCAAGTCACACATTCAAAAATGTTCTATCTGATTATGCTTTATATATTATAAGCATACAAACAATATTTTTGTAAACGTACTTCTAAATGCATAAATATAGGATAAAAATAGCAGTTTGTGGCGCAAATACCTTCGCGTCACCAACAATGCTTTGCTGTCGTATTGTTACAATGAGCGAAATTTTTCCTCACCTAACAAATATTGTGTTGTGTATAATTTGATATAGGTTAATAGTACTAGTATTATTAAGCCGGTAGTACATTACTGAACGAACGCCTTGCACTGATTTTTGGGTTGGAATTGATTTTTTATGGGAACTCCCCTCCCCTCTTCTGTTTCATATTCTGTGAGACGTAAACAAACACTCCCGAAGGATGTTATTCGACCACCATGTTATCGTGGTTAATTTTTTTTGAATTTGGCGTAATTGCATTTGCCAAATACCCCGAGTCTGGGTTACTTCCACAGGTTAAGCAACGTTACGTTAAACTAATAAATTAGTACCCGGTCGTATGTATAAAAAACAAACCTTTGGATACTCGAGGCGTAAAGTGTTGCTTAGTCAAAGGCTATCAATTATTGGGTTTCGATATTGATTGCTGATAGACAGTACACTCTCGCTACCGCCTGATTAGAAAACCCATCCCAATCTACGCAACGTACAAAACCTTAATGCCAAGCAAGTAAGGCATTGATAGTTTTTGCGATTATGCCGCCAGAATAATACAACCCGCAGCAGCAAACCAAAAGGGTAATGTGCAGCTAAGTATAGATCGAGTTTCCCACCATCTGTTAGTTGTGACGCAAACTTCAAAATACATGCTTTTTTAGACTAATAAATAGCTAGTGTCCATGATACGGTGGAGATACACTTTACGTCTGTCGTATAGTTTCTATTTATCCACCAGTATCCAGATATTTATCCATACGGTCCAATTTTTAATTTAATTTTGCCACTTTTTCCATTCATGTACTCATTCATGTACTCATTGCCCCTAGTGCACATCGAGTTAACTCATACATTACCTAAAAAATAGTCTAATGCACAGTAAACTAGATTTCCATATATATCTCTGTGCATTGTAACAAAAAAATCTGCTTTCTTTCTCGTGTGACTTACACGTAATACTCTCTCTTATGTATGAAACAAGAGAAAACATACCCGGTTGCAGACTTCGGCTCTTTTTCAAACCTTACTTCGTCTTTATTGATAATACTTACATACGGCTCTCCAAATATGTCCCCTTGCCGGAGATCGTTTACCAGACTCTATATAAATGACGATTTCATCGCTAACCTATACAACAGAATCTCGTCGTGCCTCTATACAAAAAACTTTTTTTCAGACAAACCTTCGAAGTTACGACTGCCTAGAACTCACAAACCTTTAACCATTCCTTTCAGAAACCCTTGTAAGAGACACTAACTCCACTCCAAATCTCTCATTCCTCTTAGCCCCCTTGTAAGAGACCAACCCAAATCACCCATTCCTCCCACACCCATCTCATTACCCTTGCCACCATTGCTGCATTGACAGCATACCATGACAGCAGTCGAAAAAATAATTCGAAAAAAAGCTAATATCGCGTGTTTGAACTGCAGGGTAAGGAAATCGAAGTGCACGGGGCCCCCCTCGTGCTCTGCGTGCCGTATAAAAAACCTTAATTGCGAATTTATACCCCGCATTCGGAGTAGGGCGGCCCCGCGCAGGGATGTTATTCAGACGAGATCGCAGAGAGTTGCTAACATGTTGGAGAGGCTCGACAAAACAGCGTTGCCTGAGAAAACAAAGGCAATTTATCGAAAAATGTTAATTAACTATGAAGCTGTTCCTGCAGAAATCGACGAGCTGCTAGCGAGCAGCAAACACTGTAACAAGCAAGGTATATATTTTGTTAAAAAAAGTAGCTTATTATGGTTGAATACTTTTTGCTTTGTAATTTTCATAAACCAACTAAGATTTACTTATTGTCAATAGTCACATTGCCTCCGCTAGCAGCAATCGGTCCCGCTGCAGACAACAACAGTCAATACACCAGTAGTAATCATGCCGAATTTTTGCAGTCGCTGGAGTATTTTACGGCGGCAAGTGATTACATGACCAATTTCCACGCATGGTGACGACCTAACTTATACATGCATCACAATAAGCATCCTTTGAAACCTGTTGACCGATTGCTGGTCAGTGTAAGTACGAATTTTACATTAAACAATTTATTTGTTTGTTTTATAACTTTCACTATTTGGTTTATTTGGTGAAAATGAGCATTTTATCTAATTGTAAATATGCCACTATCCTCATTTGCTTTGTATAGATTTAAGCCGGAAGATATCATTTGATGTTATTTTCAAATACCAGATAAGATGTTACACTTACACTTGCAACTATAATTTCCCTTTTCTAACGGAAATGCTATGCATTCAAGTTACACTACTCATGTCTATGATTATGATTATGTTACGATTTACCCACAATTATCTAATCTAAATGTTATGTATTAAACAATAAAAAAAGGTATGGAATACTGTATGCTCTAAATTTTAGTGAGTAACACGAAGTATGCATCTATCCCCGTGGTCGTAACCAAATTTAGCAATGGCAATAAGAAATCGATTATCGGAGGATCTATCGAAAACTGAAAGCAATTCAATAGTAATAGGCAAAGACATTATTTCTCATTGCCAAAAGATCTGTCTGTCGAAAGCGTATTATACTATGTTTACTCTTATAATACTTTACTATATATATTTTAAGACCATAATTATTAAAAAACTGTATTAACTCTTATCAGTAAACACTCTGAAAGTAAAGTGATTCAGAAGCTGTGGGAATGTTTTGGGTGCCACATGTGAATTTGAACTTGGGTGTGTTTCCCCTTATAGATCGAGTTTTCCCAATCAGATACCGACCAATATGTGAGTTTATTATATCCGGTTGGAAAGCGTGAAAATTTTAACAGGTCGATGATTTTGATGAGAATCGGTTTCGTATCGGGAATATGAGAGGGGGGTTATCGTTATTTGTTTTTGTTGAATCTCGAAGGACTACAATTCAGAGTCATCCCGTATACTCCCAACTTCCAGGTTCACGGAATGTCGAACGCATGTGCATACACACACGTACCACATCTCACTCGCACGTTCGCAATCGACATTTCCGCAATCACCATCCCCCCATAAATCAAATATTCAAACACTGACATCGTTTCGTAAGTGGCATTTTTTTCAATGTTTTTATTGATTACTTGATACTGATATATTGATATATGAAGAGTATCTACAATGCTTCATTCTAATGATAAATAAAAAGAAATATAATCATACCTATATTTACAAAATGATCGTTGACACCCGTCTGATATACTACCCATTTATTCTTGTATATTCGATTTATATATCAATACAATACACACCCCATACACTATTTTACATCTGCAATTTTGTTGCAAGTAGGAGGAGACTGGGAGAAGGGGGGGGGCGCTTATACATCTGTTAGTTAATTGACCAAAAATTCCCCTCACAAAATTACAGCAAGCCAATGACACAAAATATAAAATTACAAAAAAATTTCCACTTTTGTTTCCCGTTGCCCAAAGTATGTCTTCTAAAGAAAAAGAAAACCCTCATTCTTTCTTCACAACACCAGTTATTCAATACCTCTTCAAAGCTTTGGGAAGTCTAACCATGACCAGACTGAAAACATACCAAACTCCATAACCCATAAGCACGATAATCAAAAGTCTCAATAATGCGACCATGACCCCATCGGCTCTGTTCCGCTCTTCCATCAAAGATTCTATTAGTTTTTTCTCTCTTGCTCTACAGATATCCAACTCTTGTTTCATCTCTTGAATACATCTCACAGCCTCTTCACGCCACTTGACTTCTCTTTGGTAACGCGCTGATGACGATGATGATGATGACGATGACGATGATGATTCTTGTCGATGAGATTTGGGTTGAGGCTTCTGCTCGATTTGGGCTTGTTGCACTAGGACGTCTGAGAGAACAAGAGACATTGCGTCTACAAGGATATGATGTGGGATGAAGGCTGATTGTTTCATCTACGTATTAGGAAGCAAGTAGCAAATAAGTATCAAGTAATGTACCAAAATATTGTAACTTGTTAATTTCGAACAACTTACTTGAATCAGTATTGTAGGGCCTAGGTAAGAGAAATCAATATATTTCAAGAGTTCTTCTATATTAACTTCTTCACGTTCTTCTTGTTCTTCACCTCCATCCTTGATAATCTGTTCCTCGTTCTTTTCAAGGGTTGATTCCTGTTGAGAACCAACTACTTCTTCGTTACCAACATTTGACCCTTCTGAGATACGCTTGACGCTATCTTGACTTGTATCATTTTCGGCAACGTCACTCTCCTTTTGTGTTTCGATTCCTAGTTGAGACTGCTCTGTTTGGGTATCCGAGGCGCTTTCTGTTATCGACATGGCTTCGGGATGCGATTTGTTATCATTGTCAGACATCATGTTTCCGTTTTCAGCAATCTCCTTTTCTATGGGAGAATCATCTTCCTTATCTGCTTTCATATCAACTTCTGAAACTGCATCCATCGTTGGCTGGTCTGCCTGATCGGTCTCCAACGTACATGCGTCTGCCTTCTCAATAACTGCTTCGTTTCCTTCTGTCTTATCTGCTTCGACTTTGTCTTCCTTTGCCTTGCAATATTCCTTCGCATCGCACGTGATTTTATCTTCTTTGACAGCAATCTCGTTTTTCTCTCGCCCATTCACTCTGTCTCTTTCCTCAACACTTGCATTATCCTTATTTGTGCGCAACTGTTTTTCTTCATTTACCGCTCCTCGTCTTGCCTCACCATCCGAGTTTCTATACCTAATCCATCTCTCGATAAACTTTAACGTTCTCACTTCTCCATTCTCGCCTTTAAGCAGATGCCTATATCCAGAGCCATAAGTGTTCCCACTTGCACTCCTACTTGCATATTCACCCCCCTTGTCGCGAGAAGCTCCTTCAGTCAATACTCTTCCTTTCCCTTTATTTTTGCCTCTAGGCTTCTCTTTCTGTCCATCTAAATACGCTCTTCGCAGTCTCAAACAAAAGACGACACTCTTGAATTTCAATTCTCCCAATTTATACGTATTGAACCCTTCTTCATCGTCGAATGCACTCTTTGCGTGCAAGTATCTGTAGCACATCCCAGAAAATCTAGTCGATATTGTGAGAAGGCTGCTCAAGTCGGGAGATGATGGGATACAAGAGTCGTGTGTAGACATTTGAATAAAAGCGTTGAGTAGCGGAACAGTATTACTGCCATCCAAGTATGATTTAAAGTTGGATTCGAGATGCGAGAGGAGTGGAAGAAGTTCCAAGCGGTAACTGATAAGCAAGAGAGAGGCCAAGAGTGTTGGTGGATTCGGTAAATTTGAATCTGTGAGACTAGATGCAGAGTTATGCAGGAGTTGTGGCGATGGTGATGATGGAGTTACTGGAGTTACGGGTGATGATGGAAATGACGAAGTTATTGGCGATGCTGGGAGAGAAGGTACGACCGTGGAAGTAGGTGAGTATAAAGGCGTGCCTGGAGCAGATGTCGATAAAGATAGGAAATCAGCCGTTACAGGGGATGATAGCATATTGTTCTCATCCCAATCAAGAACGTCAGTGTAGAAAAACGAGAGTATTTTCTCAAAGGCAACCGCCAACGAATCTCGTGGTAGATATAACGGTTGAATGTAATCTTCAAGGCGTAGTGGTGATTGTTGCGAGAGAGGCGATACCGTTAAAGTATCTGTGGGGGTTGCGGCAATATCGGTTGTCACCGCATTCGAGCTTGAAATAGGCAATGATGATATGTCGTCCGTAGCATTGCTGGGAGCGGAAAGCGACTGTTCATTTTGGCGAAAGTGGCGTCGGAAAAGGGGTGAACGAAGAGCGAGGATGAACCTGCATATTAGGAAGAAAATAGGAATGTGGCGAGTGAGTAAGAGTGGATAGGAGGTCCGTGCCAAGCGTTTGCAAGGTATACATTATGTGCAATGTATGTAATAATATGCATCCCATAATGCTATTAATATGCACGACATCGACAAGTCTGTTATTATTATATCGCGAACTTGCTCTCGTCCGATCTCAGTCTCCGAGCTTGTGTTTCCTCATGTTTTCATCCTACCTCGATGTTCCTATCACCCTCCCATCGGGTAGTATTATCTCTACGTCGGTGAATCCATCCTTGTAAAGAGTAGCGAGGTCAGTTGTGATCGTACCCAACGGCCTACTGGTCATTTGTATTCTGTTTTTATTATTATTTGTTGTCTCTGCCGATTATCAATATTACAGTATTTGGATAAATGAAATTGTGGTTAACCAATCAACAACACTGTTCTGATAGACGAGCACGTAGTATAAGAGAGAGGATAGTAGTCCTTCTACCTATTGAGCTTTCGATTTCCTTGAAAGGGTCAAAAATCACGAAGTTTTATAGCTATTGACTGGGAATGATCAGTGTCTTGTCACCTGATTCTCTACAATAATCATGCAGTATAAATAACAAAGTTGCGATGATTATTACGCGATTAATATTTGGAATAAGGGAATAATGGCGATAACTATAACGTTCAATATCCGGTGATCGTTTCAACTCTAGTCTTTGTCCAAAACTTTGTAAATTCTCACACATGCCCCCATCTTTTAAAAGAATTGTCCGTTATCAGTATATATTAGAGTACTGTAAAAGGGAGGAAAGATGGGGGTGGTAATGATTGAGTGAAAGGGTTTTTTTATACAGTTTAGACTACTTGCATTCTGGTTACACCAGACCCTGGACAACCCTGAAAAAAATTTATCGCCCCAAATGGAAGTGAGAAGATTTTCGATATATCGATATCGATATATGATATGAAGAACAACATTATATGGAAACCAATAGTAGTGGATGGCAGCCTTAAACGGCTTTTCTGCGTTCGATAGAAGAATACAATACACCAATGGTCTTATTGCTGCGGGGTTGTCCAACGTCGAATGAATATAAAAAGTTACCGAACTAAAAGAAAATCATGAGACTTTCCCGATCCTAATAGCAATGAACTGCAACAAGATTACAAGAATTTTCCCATAATCATAAAGAAGATACGAGTTAGCATTCTATACATCTCACTGTTTATCAGACTTGCATTAAGACAAGACAATTTAGGTAATCGAACGTGCATTCGCTCAACATGAAACCACCCCTGCTGCATGTTGAAAACTTAAAGACGTTAAATTCTATGAAATCGATTTTCTCCGTAATACCAGTTAAGAAGCTACATATACAAGTCCCGTGCTTGTTCTATATATATCACATTTGGTGCTACCAATATATAATTAACTCGAATACGTAATATGACGTCTACATCTACCGAGTTATTATAAATCAAGCAAGATAGCGTAAGACAGCTATTGTAAATTAATCTAGATTGCTAGTTCTCTGCTTCAATACTTGTTGGCCTGACGTTACTCTTGAATTGTAATATTAACTATATAATCCATACGCTATGTGAATATGTTTTATTACCGCTCGATAATTATAGTCGCATTCTTTAAAGGGTCTGACTTATCGGGAACGTTTAATCAGACATGCTGTATAAAACAGTATATATGTTACAAGAGTATTATCTGCGGAGCGCGTCAATAAAATGTCGGCAAAAAGAACCGTCGCTACGGCTATGTTGGTAACTTTAACCTTTTACACAGCAAAATGTTGTTTGACCATACTTGTTATGTGAAAGTAACAAGTCCTGGTTAACAGAATGTAATGAGCATGTTGTACCTCAATTGGGGATCTGTCTCAGTTCTGACTGAGTGTCTGGGTTCTGAATTGAGACAGGTCTCTAATATTTGGCATGTCTTGCAAGAAACATGCTATTATATATTGAGAATACATAATACAGTACTAAAGTTATCTTAAAGTTTCTAATGTACTTTGTAGCGCGTTTATTATATAACTTGAAATAAAGTCGTAACTCAATAACAATCACATTCATTAAACGGGCTGTATTGTGTTTAAATTTGTCAATTGCGGGGTCAACTGGAAGCTAAACCTCGCAACGAACTAGAATTCAAATATGAGGACAAATGCTCTATATTAAGGTCAAAGAAGAATGCAAATTCGGAAGCTGACATTTAACATAATGGAAAGGGTATGGTAGAAAATAAATCTATGCGTTAAAAAGAATATGCAACAATGTAGAGTACGTTGCTCGGTTAACACACGAATTACGAGATCTAACAAAGCGAAAGCTCCAAGTCGTTCTGCACATGTCCATAACGGTAATTGTGATGGCAGTCATTTACCATGTAGTTTTCACAACATAGTTGCTCGCAACTATGTCATATAAAACTCAAAGAATACTGTTATTGGTTGCTCTACCTGCGGTTGTCGAGGTTGTGTGACCTGTGATAAAATAGATCCTGATGTGTCGGATTGTGCGACGTGCAGAGATTATCATCTTTCAAAAAGTCAGAGCCACATCTTGTATCCCTGCACACATCATGCAATTTGATTGACACAACAGAACTTTATGCATAGTACTTTACTAAGCATAGGATAAGACGACTTCTTGCAAAATGGCCTACAAGGTATAGGAAAAAAAAAACACTCTTTAGTGGGTGTACTATATTCGCTAACTATTGACTATTCCATTTATATTGTAGGGCGACGAAAGCTCAATCACCATTAATCATGGTGGTTTTCCTAAACTTATACGTAAACTGATTGAACAAGGACATGCCTCAGCAGATTCACAAATAGAAGAACTGTTAATAAACATACATCGGCCGGAGAATCTTTATGCTCTCAAATATATTCTTGAAAATGAAGGAGAATATGTGTCAGCAGAGGTGTTAACGGCGGCCATGGAGAGTCTATACCCTGAACAAACTGGCAGAGTTTTTTCGGAAGAAGCACCTATTAAATTGGAGTGGCAATTACGAATCATTATAATCATACTGGAGCGAATGGGTGAGCGTAAATTTCAAATTACAAGTCAGTTTCTTCAAAACACGAGAAATGCCGTATCTATATACGAGAAGACAAACAAAACAATTACAGAGCATGGAAGAAATTTTTGGAAGCCGAATTGTGCAGAATTTAATGGAACGGACAATAATATCAAAAAATTTAAATGCAATTACGATACTAAATATCTCTTCAAACTTATTAAGAACACGTTACGTAGCATTTGTGGTGGTAAGAACTACCAGCAGACAAGTGTATATCGAGCCGTTGCTATGTTAAAGGCCTTACTTGCTGCTGTTCCTGGATTGACAAAGATTGGAGTTAAAATGACTACTGGGATCGAAATTCCTCTTGGTCCTTTTGACATAGAGAGCTCATGGAAGTATCTTGTAAAAGTGTTTCAAATTGAACCGTCAGGTAAACCATGGTATACAACTTGGAGAAGACTTATTAAATTACAAAACACTCTTGATGAGTGGAGCCAAGAAGAAGATTGCAACATTCCAGTAACATTTAAAGAAAGAGTGCTTCTTGAGTATTTTTGGCATCATATCAGTTTATGCTACTCTGAAGATGCAGAAAACAGCAAGGATGCTAGTGATGAACTTTGGTTTGGCATTTTGGACCTTGTCCAACAACTTATCCAGAAAACCTTTTCTGTGACTACACAGGCTATCTGTTATTACCTAGCATTAGACTCACTCAACAATGCATACAATGAGTTTATCCAATTTAAGTCAATTGAAGTCTTATTGAGTCTTGAAGTAAAAAACAAGGAATTGTTTGTTGCAACACCTGCTGATATTGGTAATTGTAATGAGGAAGATATACCAAGACTAGTGGAAATCTACAATTACTTGAAAGAAAAATTAGAAGTTGAATCAAAATTGTGCCTGAAATACTCACTAGACAAAATGAAGATGGGGAGGAAAGGGAAAGGCAAAGAAATGCATGATGATAAAGGCCCAATGGATTATATCACAGAAGATTTCAAATGCCCAATTACTTATGAAACTGTTGATAGCTTATATCAACTTAACTGTAAACATTCAGTTAGTCCTAAGGTTTTTTTGTCTTTGGAGAAATGTGAATGTCCTTATTGTAGAACTGAAATTAGAAAGGATAGTGTGTATTATTTACCACAGCAGACCATATACAATAACATTCAGCATTATATCAATATTACAGAAGATGATCAAAATATTTATAGTTCAACTTCTGGTCACAATACCATGCTGAATTGGCATGATAATGATAGTCTTAAGACACAAAAAAAAAAGAGTAGAAGGAGAATATATAATTCTGGGTTCACTTTGAACACAATCTGGAAGGCAATAACAACACCAAGTGTAGACAAATTATTTCGAACAGCAAAAACTGCATATAACAATCATCACTTGGAAAAAGCTTTAGGCATTTACACACAGATATTACAGGCAAATCCCAAAAATTATACAGCTCTATGTAATAGAGCAGTCACTAAGTTAAGGATGAAGAATTTTGAAAAAGCTCTGTATGATATTGAGACAGCAATTGAAGTAAATGAGTTTTATAACAAGGCCTGGTACTTGAACTTGAAGGCACATGTATGTCTAGGGAACATAGATAGGGCTGAACAAGATACCAGGCATATTAATACTACAGCTTTTCAAGAGATGGCTTTTGATATGATTCATGCATTTGTAAACAAACTTGATTATTTTGATGTAGAATGGTTTAAACTTCTTGTAAATACATCCCCCTCAAATGCAATGTATAAATTGAATAACAGTATTCAATGGCAATTAATGTGCAACAATGAATTTGGAGCAGATGATTACAGCAGTTGGAATGATAATGCTCTGACTTGGTATGAGCTGTATAACAATGCTCCAGATAATTATGAGAAAACAAAAGTTTTTTTAAAAAAGGTTTATTATATGCATAGAAGTAAGCATTGTATTTAATTGTATGATTTTATTTACTGGCTGCTAAGCATGCTGAATGGCTCTATTTATTAGATCACCTGAGAGCCAATTTTGCATTTGAAAGTCATATTGAAGATACTGATAAGTGCAAAAAGTATGTATAATTGTGATAATATTGTTACATATAGTACTGATACTAACTTTATCATTAATAGGCATTTGGATCATTTAGAACTTTCTGGTCCTAATAAGGTACTCATTTCGTTATCAAGACAACAGTCTAACTTTTGTGCTATGTGTATATTAATTGATAAACAACTATATATTAGTTAGTAATACCCATATTCCAAGTACCTCCAAATTCATACAAACTCGGCATTTTG